GAGGGAGTGATGGACCCCTTGGAGCTGTATTTACAGGTGGTTACAGGAGCTGCCTGGTGTGGATACTGGGAGCTGAACTCAGATCCTTTGGAAGAGCAGCTGGTGCTCTTATCTGCTGAGCCTTAGTCCCAGACAAAGGAAGCTCCTTTGCCTGTCCAGGTGCTTGTCATCCATTGGTTATGCCTTCTCTTGAAAGTCTGTGCACTTTAGAAACGTCTTGATGGTGGGAACTAAACCTTACCCATCTCTGTGTTCTATAGTCGGCCTCTCTCAGATATTCAATATGTAAGAGGCCCCAGTTGGGCTTCTCAATGTTATTATTGTATCACTGTAGTGTATACAGTCTCAACTAAAGTGGTACTAATAATTCAAGATAGTTCACTTTGTTATCCAAGGCCGAGGCAGAACATAGTGTCAGGCAACATGGCTGTGCTGGGGGAACATCTGGGAAGGAACAACAGAGACACTGGGCTGGCTTGCAGCAGTCAGGAAATGAAGTGGTTCATTCCTAGCAACGGCCCATTTTGTATTTTGGAGGCAGAGATGTAAACAATGGCAGGCTCTATGAAAAGCAGCTGCAGTTAGGGATGTCTCAACACGCTTCATATGTGCAAATGACAGGAAGGATTCCCAGTGCCATATTGTGTTTCTCAGCCTCACACGCAGCACAGAGCTGTCGCCGTCTATAGTGTTGCTCTGAGTGCCGTGTAGAACAATGCGTCCATATCCTACTTGCCACGGGAGTGAAGGTGAAAGTCAGAAGGGGTGGGGTCACTGACATCCACTGGTTGCTTTTTTAAAAGCTGTCTATTAACCCTGTGAATTCTGAACAAATTCCATCTTGAGAAAATATTTTTTGGAAAAAAATTACCTTCATATTAAACACACGCCAATTTTATGGATTATTTCCACCTCCTGTTTTTTCCCCCCTTCTGAGTGCCTGCTGATTGGTGTCAGATTGTTTGGGTTATCACCTTCTCATTTGAAGGTTTTATTGTAAGAGGACAACATGTGAGATCTAACGTGATGCATTAGACACCTTAGAAACTGTGGAAAAAATGTAGGTAAGCTTATGGATTCTTTGGAAATGTCCATAAATATTTACAAGTACAGAGCTAAATGTCACTTTTTCAAATCAGCTGTATTTTTTCTTTTTTTTTCTTCTTCTTTTTTTTAAATGGAAAACATCAAGTTCAGGATGGCAGAACGTCAAAAAGACACCAGAAAATGTAATTTATATTGCAACCTGGCTACTTGGCAGACACATGTAATTTTCATAATGCTTTTTCTTAAAGTCTTTACATACTTAAAGTTTTAAATGTGTGTGTGTATACATGTGTGCATGCATGTGCACGAGTGTGTGTGAGCATGTGTGCATGTGCGTGTGTGTAGTATGTGCGATCCGAGGATATATTTTGATGACTAAATTCAGCACACGGCAGTTTGTAGTCATTGCCTCCTTAAATGTTAAGAACATCATTCATCACATCTCTGGCTTCTTAAGCTTGTGATTCACAGTTTGCAATGCCAGATTTCCCAATGGTTGGACTTTTTTTCTAAACTACTTTCTTTGAAGATTCATTTTATTTTTTATTATTTGTGTGTGTTGTTCACGTGTGTGTGTGTGTGTATTACATGAGTATGTGAATGTTTTCACCCATGGGTCTGCATCATTATTTCCTTTCAAACAAGGTCTATTACTGGAGTTTTGTTGGTCTGATTTGCCCATGAGCTCTTGAGGTCTGCTTCTCTTTTTTGCTTACAGCAGTGGGATTATAGGCACATACAACCATGCCGGACTTTTTATGTAGGTGTTGGGAGATTTTTGCACTCATAAAAAAGATCACTTAGGACAACTTTTATGCTCATCTGGAACCAAGATCTCCCAACTCAGAGAGTCTGTTGCAGGGACCTAAGGCACATGATCAGTAGGTGAAAGGCAGGTTTCCCAGTTCTCATTCCAGATTAAACACCAGCCAAGAACAAGGGTGTATCTTTACTGCAAAACTCAACCTCCTCTTCAGAATAATAAACATACATTTTTAAAATGCAATCTCATTTTTCAGCTCCACATCTAACAAGCAAGTCTACACTTGTTGCCCCTTAAACTGAGCTCACCTCTACCATACCTTCTGGGGCCTCCTGCATTCCCAACCCACGGTGAACCATCTTTTAAGATTTCCTGAGAACAGCACCTGTTGGGCTGAGTTCAGCTTTATCTCTTCCTTGTCTTCATGCCTCTCATGTCTAACAATTGTACAGCTTTAGGGAGGGAAAAATGGGGAGAGTGTTGTCACATATTCAAGTTTTGATTCCTTTGTATTAATTGATAATCCATATTCAATGAAAATAAATAAAGCAGGATTTTTTAGACCTATAGTTTAGTGCATATATTTTGATTAATTTTAATCTGGGTGTGTGCGAACATACTTATGTGGATTGAAAACTACTTTTGCAAAATTGATATTACATGATAAAAGTTTATTGATATAGGATATATACTGTTTGATGCTTTTAATCAAATGTTTTCAGGGTTTCACAGTCTAATATATTTCATTGTATAGAGATGGAAAAGTTCATTGATCTAATCTCTTATCCCAAGATAGTCCTAATTTCTCATTATTTGCATGTAAATACCACTAACAATTCAAAAACATTAGTCTTTATTCCCTAGAATATTTGATAAGTATTGCATTTTTGTATATTTCTGGAAAAATTAACATACTTTTAGGCAAGAAATATATATGCACACATACAATTAATATATATTACTATTAGGCAGAAGTTTTTAATTTTTTTTGCCTTATAGATATTTTTATAATGTTTCTATAGTGCTTATCTTTAGCAGTTTTTCTTGGTATATTTAGCTCATAAGTTCACCTTTCTCAGGTTTATCAGTTGTAAGTCTTTAAAGTTTGTTTTTGCTTTCTGATGGGACCATGTAAATAATGGTGCCTTGAGCTTTCTTTTACCATATTTGCAGACGTTAATTGATCTGTCCTTTAGTAATAAACTAAGACACAGGGCAATTCCTCTGTGTGAGATTTTCTGCAGTGTATCTTCCTAAATTAGGAAATGTCAACCTTGCTTCTTCATGAAGTTCTGTAACTGATGTCCAGCAGTACTGGCCTCCAGGGTTGGACCACATCAGAATGACTAAAGTTAAATGAACTTAGTTATACAATATTTGTGTTTGCTGATAGTTTGCATTTAGATTACTCAAAGAAGACAGCGTCATGTGACAGGCAGTGGGGAATTGTGATGGAAGAAGAACAGACACTAATGAAGTTTGCTTGACCTTCTGTGAAGGGGAAGTCTGTGCCTTTGAGGTCATAAGAGCCAGGTTTTTAATCTGAGAAGAGTGTTGAACTAGTCTCCCTGAGAACCAAAGACAGGGAAAAATGAACTAAGAGTTTCTGGCGATTCTGATGTGGAGGAGTGTGTGTGTGTGTGTGTGTGTGTGTGTGTGTGTGTAAGTGTATGTTATACATCTTTCTTGCCCCTTCTCTTGTCTTTCCCCCTGTCACTACCCATTTGGGGTGGTAATTCCTTTGTCTTTGTTTGCATGGAGAATTGTGTCAGGGACTTTGTTATTTTATAACCATCATTTTGTTCTTGCTTTTGTTGACTTTGGAGAAGTGTCCTTTTAATGGATGAGTAATAGAGTCTCTTGGGACCTTCTCTGGGCTACCATCACAGTAGAGGCGTGGTTTTTCTTTCTGTCTTCCAAGTTGACTTCCAAAGATGCCTACGTCATAAACTGTGGCTCCCTGAGATAGAATTTTTACAGAAAGCATACACAGTTTTCTCTGACACTCCCACTTCCCCCTGTAAATACCCAAATTGTTGATCCTCACCAAGCTATGCCTCTTCCTTTCATTCCTACCTCTCTTAGCTCCAGCTGATCTGTGGAGAAGCAGGCCTTGTAGTCTCTAAGTTTACTCAATGTGCAAGAAGGCTTGCTGGGTGGATATCAAGTTTTCCCAGGAATACTTATTCAAGAGCATGTCCTTCCCTGATTAAATGGCCTTAACAATTTGTCAAAGATCATCCAGCCACATTTGCCAAGATTTCTTCCTGGAATCTCTTTCTATTATGTTTACCTGTGTCTTTGTTTTCCTATCCACACTGTGCGGTTTCAGTTAGCTTTTTGATATGCTTTGAAGCATGAGTATTCTGACTTTCATGTTCTTCTTTTCCAGAACTGGTATTGCTATTTTAGGTCCCGTTAGATTCCATAACATTGACTACATTCATGTCACTGTGTTCCAAATATTAGACAAACTGTCTTAAGAACAGAGGAATAACTTATTTGGCTTACACATTCAGAAGAATTTTAGATCTATGGAGGAGGCATGGCAACAGGAGCCTCTCTGTCAGATGGAGCCTAGAAAGAGGGAGAGTTCTGCTGGGATTAGTAAGGTAGCTATGACCTTCATAGACCCACTCCTAGCTATGCGACTTTGCCATCAGAACACATCTTCTAAAAGATTCGCAGATATTACAAGCAGAGACTGCCCTGTGGCTTCCTGTTTCACCACTTGTGGTGCTTCCTGCACACAGGCCACCATTGCAGTGACATCTCTCACAGGCCCTCAGTAAGTCAGAGTAGGAGCCAATACCACAGTCTTAGATCTCTAATTGCTTTCCTCTCTCTTTTACCCCACATTAGCTATTTTGTTTTTATTGCAAAAAATAGGTAATGACAACATTTCTTTCTTGTTCATGATCTTAGAGAGAATACTGATCTTTTATTATTGAGTGTGTTAAGTAGGGACTTTGCACAGATCACCTAACTTTTAGTGGTCTTTCTATTATGAATTGTAGATTGCTCTTGTGAGGGAAGGATGTTGAATCTTATAAAATACTTTTCAGCCTCAGATACATTTGTCTTGGAAGAGTTCATTTATTCCTACAATTCAGATTCAAACTAATATTGTTTTGTTAATATGAATTAAATAAAAATATCCTTAACCTGTCAAAAATGCCTTTTTATACAGCAACTCATTAAATGTCAACTTAAAGAATAAATACAACTCACTGATGAAAACTACAGAATGAGTGAGGCCTTTAATTCAGACCCACAGTGGAAAGAATTCATCTTCAAAAGTAAAAAAAAGTTTGAAAGACTTTCCAGCCTCTACCAAGAACTGGGGACAGAAGAAAGACAGGTAAGCTTTTAATGCATTCAATCAAACCACTTTTAAATTTGGTAAATATTTATGAAGAAGTATTCACAGGGTGGACAGGCGAGCAAGATCCAAGTACAAGCAGCTGCCTGTGCTTCTGAGAAGCTTAAAGGTAAATGGAAGTCAAGCATGTAGAGTTAACTCCACCAGGAGAGGGAATGTCACTGAAGAAAGGAGGTGGGTGATGGAGGCATGGGGGGGATAGGATAGGTTCACTGTGTGTGGTGTCTGTGTGTGTTTAAGGAGGTGAGGACTGGCGTCCACGACATCTCTTTCAAGGGCACTGTAAGTAATGAGCTGCTAATAATGGTTAAGCCTTTCTCATTGATAACAAGGCTGGGGGAGGTAATTCTGCTGCAAAGTTATAAAAGGAAGGGCAGCAGGACACGTTTAGAGCAGCGCAAAAGCAAACTGCAGGAGAAAAGCGGGGCAGTGTCCAGCTGGAGGGTCTGAGGAGAACCGGTGGCTTTAGAGAACCAGCAGGTCACAGAGAAACACTGACGATAGCTTCCTTCCTCCCCATGAAGGAGGGAGCCCATGGCTGCACAATGAAGGCCAGCTATTATTTGTGTAAATGTTATTAAATTTAATGGATATTTTATAGTCTCCATTTTATACTTCCTCTGCAGTATCCAGTGCTGTTGAACACATCCTTGTTCTCACAAGACTCCCCTCCTTTGGCTTCCGCGATCTTCTGGTCTTCTTCATCTCATTTTTTTTTTTATTTTATTTGCTAAAGCTCCTATTGCTCCTCATCTCTGAGTTATTTTTTTCCTGTCACCGTAGTGTAATATCATACTGACCATTTGCTTTTCTTCCCCCTTTCTCCTCTCATGGCATGTATGTTCATGCTTCTCTGGTAGGTGATGTGGGAGTGTCATATATCATCTGTTGATTTCATTGGCTGAGCAATAAACTAACTGCTTGGCCTCATAGCTTAGAACATAGATGGGAGGAGTAAACAGAATAGAATTCTGGGCGGAAGAGGAAGTGAGGTCAGACTCTGTTCTGCTCCCGGACAGACCCGACAGTTCTGCTCTCTGGAGCAGAGACACCATGATGGACGGAGGCTAGAATCTTCCCGGTAAGCGCACCTTGGGGTGCTTACACACATCATTAGAAATGGGCTAGTCCAGGTGCGAGAATTAGCCTGTAAGGGTTAGAGTTCATGGGCCAAGCAGTTCTTAAATGAATACAGTTTGTGTGTTGTTATTTCGGGCATGAGCTAGCCAAGCGGCCGGGTATTGGGGACGCAGCCCTGCTGCACCTATTTCAACAGGTAGGTTTCTTTTATTACTATTACTTTAGCTTTCTCTCTTAGTTCATTTGCTTTTCTAAAACAAAATGCTTGAGGCTTGATTACTTCAAAAGTAAAGAGATTTCTTTGGAAGGTACAAACAGCATGACAATAATGATCTAGCACGAGGTCCCTGGCTGTGCTACAAAAGGATGGAGAGGCAAAAGTAGAATCAACCATATTCAGAAAACATCACATGATAAGGCAAGATATAAGATGCCAGGAAGGAGTCAATCCCAATTAAAAAATATTTTTGTTTTTGACAATGCTAGGGCATGAACCCGCGATCTTGCATATACTAAATAAGCATTCCACCACTGAGGTTCATCCTCACTTCTTTCCTCTTTGATAACAACACACTCACCAAAACTCCTTCACTGATAGTAGCCTTGACCTATTGATTTTAGACAGAGTTAGCCGCTTCATGGACTCTCCCATGATCTAATTAGATCTACTATGTACCAACTCTTGAAGGAACTTCCAGAGGGCATGTCATATTAGGCTGTCTTTATACTCCCCTCCATCCCTTCCCCTCTTTCCTTTTATTAATTTCTCAAGACTGTCCTACAAATGCCCAAACAAGCTACTAGATGTTGCCGCCTTGGGTGGGTCACTTAGTCTAGGGGTTGTAACCCACCCTGCAGCCAGTTATTCCAGGGTCACGGAGGGGTGCTATCTGGAAGATAAATGGGCTAGGAAAGAAGGAGGAGGCTAGGCAAAGATTTGTCGAAGCCTCAGTTTATTAGGATCAGGGTTGCTGCTTTTATATAGCCCCTGGATGAGGGCTTGGGGGGCAGGGGCATGGGATCTCGCCACGTGGTCCAGGTCACGTGGTTCAGGTTCGTCAGGTAGACCAGGAGGTTATGTTCAGTCAGATCACAGAGGCCAGGGAGTCACGAGTTGCCACACCTAGTTCCCTGGATAGCTGGAATGTGAGGCGGGTTCCGCTAACAGATTAGCTTAATTGGGTGGGGTAGGTTCTGTCAATAGAACGATTCTTAACACAATTATGGGTGTGGGGTTCTCTGCAGACTCCCCAGGGCAATGGTTCCTGTAATGATTTTTAGGAGGAAAAACGGCTCCTGACAACTAGAGGGGCTCTATGATGATGAGGACACTCTGTCATCTCTATTCCAAATCTGCACCAAACAGAAATTTCCAGTACACGGTCTTCTTCAAAACTCTCAATGTTAATCGTCAGTCCTGGTGCTTCTGTGTCCTGGTTGCTGCTAAAACCCATTCCCTTCCTTACATCTCCACCACTTCTTCTCAGCCAAAGTGGTCAACCTCTATCTTGTACATTATTGTACCATCTCTTGTGTCCAGCTTGCCCCGTTATCTGTTCTCTGCACTCACATTTCTGACGAGAAAACTTAGTCATGTTTCAGAATCTCTCTGCTGTTCTCGAGAGAACATTTTAGACTCCATAGCATGGTATACAAGACTGTTAGCTGAGCCTTGTTCCCCTCTCGCTAATCTCTCCTGCCCCATTATTCTCACACCTGCTCCTTGTACCATAGCAAGTTTAGATATCTTCCTCGCACCCCTAAGACATAAGTTCTTCCAGCATCATTGTGTAGACCAAATCTTCTTTCTATAAGCTTCCTTAGCACGCCAGTTCTTCTCTCCATATCATATTGTATGAAACTGAGCTTTGCCTGCTTCTCCTAATTCAATGTAAACTTCAGAAGGAAGAGACATTATCCTATCAACAACTGTTTCTTAGGAATTATCATACTGTAGAGGTTCAGTGTGAATTTGTTCATTTGATACATGAATTGCGATGCATTTGTAGGAATGTTAAAGAAACTGCTCCAGTTACAAAAGCAGTGTCTGCCCGGCTTGGGCACCCGCTGTCTAGCCCATTTTGTTCTCACGCGCTCTCCAAACATGTCATTGTTGAGGCTCTATTTCCTGCTGTGAAAGCAAGCACATTTCGCTTACTGTCCCTAAGTCCATTCATATTTCACATTGCTCCAGCCAACACCAGGTCCTCGAGGCATGGAGATCTAGCTCTGTTAATACTTTCAAATTAATGATAGGATCCTCGAACTTCCTTTTGATACTTAACCAGGCTTCCACTCTGACAGGTTCCATTTACTAATCTTTCTGTTCTTGATTTACTTTTAAAAGCAAAGTTGGCCTGGGTATTTCTGCTTCTTACATGATGTACGAGACAAACTGTACACACTTTCCTTCTTAATGAAAAGCATTTTTTTTTTTAACAAAGCAGATGGCTGCCCACATCACTGTGTCTTGGTCAATTTGTGATTCAGAATTGCCATTTGACTGTTAACTGGCTGCTGAGTGGTTTCCCTTTATCTGAGATTTGTGAGGTTAACTGGGGTTTTAGGTACTCACACTGTCTATTACATCTTTGCGCTGCTTTATAAAAATAAACCACCCATCCCTTAGCGGGGTCTAGACCTGTGTTTAGATTGGTAAGGTAATAAGTTCAAGGGAACTCAGTTGAGGTCTTTATATGCTAACCACCCTGTCTCAGTGTTTATACTTTCTACTAAACATGCCTAGGATATTCTATGTTTTATATGCTCACATTTTACAAGGTTCTGATGCTAAGTAATGCCACATCTGTACCTTGGAAAATGGCACATTCTTCCCTTTTGTAGGATAAATCAACTCTTTATGGCATTTCTATCTGTTGAATTATTTTTTGTCACATGAAAATTCAGCCTCCTTAATTGAATATATAAACATTTGGGTTGAATAGTGACTCAAATTTTAATATTTTTATGCCAAAACTTTTCCAAGAGGAAGAAAAGTGTGTCAAATTCAGTTTAGAAGCCAGGTAAATATTAAGTGATAGATGTCTAATGTTTTAAAACAATATATAGCTGTATTGGAAAGAGTAACGTGGGATATCTTTTGGAATTTACAGTCCTCTGTGCTGGCATTGCCTTTCTTCCTCGTGATCTCACCCTCCTGTGATTTAAGCAGAAGTTTTTGGGAACTCTTTATGAATGTGCTATCTCAGCTCATCTGCAATAATGATTCTTTTATTTCAAGCACTAGCTGCACTAAGATGGAGTAAGCCCTATCTAAGTGTATTGAAGTGGAAACTTTCAGTGGGAACAATCCACATCTCTTGACCACAGTTCCTGGTGTTTTTCTTTGACTCCCTTCATTCTCTTGGTCAAAAATTTAGCACATCCCATAACCTCCTCCTCATTTTCCTCAGTGCATTGTTTCTTCAGAGCACTGGATTGGAATTTGTGGATACATGGAGTAACAAGATGCTGAACCTTGGGTGCTTTGGTCCTGGACATCTTTTCTTCCTTATTAAAGACATGTTGGTGAACATCATCTTCTTTAGATTGAACAGCTTCTAGAGACCAAAAAGCTTTTGGATTCTGCTAGCTCATCCACTAGTGTGAGCCCTAAACACTGAAATACAACAGTAAGGGTCAGTCCAGAAATATTCTTCTCTCAATTATTTTTTTTTTTATGATAGCCAAGTTGGGAATACTCAAATTGACATTCAATTGTAACTGTGTTGCAAACAGACTTCCACTCCCTCCAGTTCTTCTTGGTCTATAACAAGAGCACCCCTTACTCAACAGCAGGCACACTCTTCCATGGGTCAAGACACCACGCTTCATGGGAAAACCTGGTTTGTCATTTCTTTTTTTTTTTTATTGAGAATAAGAAAAAAAAAGTTTCCGCC